CATTTTTACAATATGCCTTACGCTAACTACTATAGATGCCCACCTTCTGATAGCAAGTATGCTCACTCCATACATCAATCATACTTACTCCATACATAGAATAGACTTGATTTCACGATGGCATTATGTCGTCTTATTAGAGTCAATCACAGTTACAAAGCTCATACCGAGGCGGGGTACTTTGGAACTTCTGACGGGGGATATGTTCGCATCCCAGCAGGGCCAACATCATACAGCTCCATGGTTTTTACTGGCATGATCAAATTTGCTGACGGTCTGCATCATCCACGTAGAGCCCAGTGCACACAATAATCTAGTGAGAATACGTAGACAGACGGATGCTGAATTATTGTCTCCACGAATGTCTGTCATCATCCCATTGCCTGGATCATTAAAGCATCAGGGCCGACTAGGTAGCGAAACTCAACTTGACTAACTCATTCCATGCACTTACATTGGAGTCACCATCCCAGTAAGAAGCCCTCATCTTCGATCGTCTTACACGTGCATCTACTTTATTCAAATGGTCGGCTCGTCAACAACTTCCTCTACATAATTTTCATTATGTACTTGTAGTATATTCACAAATAAAAGTCCACAAAGTATTTATCCATGATATATCCACTCCTACTACTAAACCCACCGATATGAAAAATCTTCTCCTTACGCCATCATGCAGCTTCAACGTTAAATAGTTGGAATCTCAAACTACTGGTGACCCCACTGCCATTGACGTCCAGCCCTAACGCCAAAACACATGCAATCACACAAGAAGAAAGTAATAATAATGAAAATTTTTCACTCGATCAAATTTTCACAAGACTCCACCACTAAGAGTACTCTCTACGATACATGCAATAGGTATTTGACCGGCCGACTCCGCCTCGAACGAAGAAATTTGAGCAGGGAATATACTCAACAGGGATTTTGCGCATAGAACCTTCCGTATGTCGTTGGGTTCGGAAACGCACACCGAGAGACCTTGCTATCGGGATCCAGTACCGAGACATTTTGTATGGATGGATTCCCAAACAACTCTGATCTACATCAAGAACGACGTCGTTGAGAAGCATGTTTAGAACGGGCGAGAACCTGTTGTTGGGATGCTTCGGTGCTTATACTACTTTTGGTCTTTCCTCCACCTTTACTGGAACTGGGATAAATCAAGCTTGGTGCTTGAAAGCACATGTGTCATGTAGCCCTTGAAATAAATCCGAAAAGCACGTTGGCGTGGGGGGGGGGGGGGGGGGGAGGTCGACTTGCAGTTCCTAATGCTCAACTATTGATGCATGAGCACGAGAAGCATGAGGTGACCCCCAAAAGAAAGCTTCAAAACCCCAACAATCGGTATACATAAAACTATTATTACTAGGATTTTCGTAAAACCCCAATTCTAGACCTCTGTACCTGCATAAACTTACATCGTGGTTCCAATTCTTGTCTCCTGCATATCAAATTGTCGCAACTCGATTGGAAAGTACATTGTATCGTATGATTCTGATCCGTGATTATACGATACAAGAAAAAGACCCTTCTCGGGTAAAATGAAGAGCTGAAGAAAGGGTGAAAAGGCTTCAGTGTCGTATTTTTGTGTATCGGATGTATTTTCCGTGCATATGGGCTTGGTTCGCAGCATTTGAAGGGTCCGTTTGTAAAGTTGTCTCGAGGCAAGCCAAGAAATTTTATAAATCTATATCTCCGAACATGCATGTTGTAGATAATGGATTTGAATTGTGGATGAAATATGGAATGATATCTTAAAAGGTCGTGCTTTGTCTATACACTGGCATCTGTATGCAACGTACAGTATATTGCAGGCGTAACAATACTTGCCTGTGATGTTGACGAATGGTCATCAATTTTATAATTAGGTGGTAAGAAAGCGAACAAAAGCTCACGGGCAAAGTTGTAACCCAATTGTACTCGTACGTGAATTTAAGTCATGCGACTTTCAAGAATTTATCTACTGTACCTTCTCGTACAATAAGTATTATCGGACGAAAGACCTCGAGAACTAGCATGCAAGAAGTCACTTGCCAATTCAATATTATACTCAACTTTACTCTCTATCAAAATCACATCACAACATCTACCTACTACACTACAACGCCTACGATATGTCGTGTCTTTACCTTGAAAATCAAAAATAGGCACGGGAAATCAACCACACTCACTCAATGGGTTCTCAGAATAGAAAACTGGCAAACTGCAGTATCACCTCTACCAATTCAAGACCCCGAAACGCCATCATCGTCGGACTCGGACGTATTGATAAACTTACAGCATACACCACAGCAGCAAGATCAACGTCCCCGAAGGCACTCGTGTATGTATGTATGCATGTATCTTCCTACCTGCAAGCCAACGGGTCGAGTACATGAGGTTTAATATGATGCATGGTATGCAAATTTCGAGTACCTCACAATACATCAATATACCAAACCTTGTGCGAAGAGGCCCAACGTTTCAAAGCATGATACTGTATTGATGGTACGAGTAAATGAGGTGTACATAGCGACATGACCAGCTTCGATCATCACAACATATCATTTCCTTCGTACCACTCGTGAAGCCCTACAGCAATAACAACCTCTTTCTCATATCACCGATGATAGGATCATGGGTACATAGAAACGGACGTTCAGGAAAATGTGCTCGAGCCGTTCAGTCAGTCCGTCCAACCCCAGATCAACAAGTTGCTACAAGCCTTGTGGCAATTCACAATACCGGCTGCACGCATTGGCTCATGCGTGCACTCTCATCTGATTAGGGCTCGAGTTGATTGAGTTGTATACCAGAGACGGGAATGACGTGAGATTAGAGTCAATGAGAATGGGAGAGGCTTGTCCCTTGAAGAATCCTTCCCTTCTCCAGCCCGCATCTGCAGATAAGTTTAAGTGGCGAGATCAGATAGGCTTTTGAGGAGTGGTAACCACAAAACTCGTGCCTAATTTCTTTTCCTGCCCCTCCTTAACGTGTAACTTCCTGAACGTAGCATTGTACATACGGCATGATAGCCTATCGTAGCTAAACGTGACTTCGTCCAAAAGACTTCATCCCATCCCATCGAATGAAGTCTCCTCTGTCTTGTAAACACCACCTACCATCTAACATCCTTGAAAACTCATCCTCTTGAAAACTTCCTTTTAAAAACCTTACCAATAGCACTCCCAAACTATAAACTAAGAGCCCCAATCAGAAATTTCCCATATGTTCGCTGTTAGTATGTGTGAAGTGTTGTAGTAATTAGACCCCCAAACCTTTCCCAAAAACGTGGGGACGCAGACAAATAGAGATACACCGATCACACCGATCACATCAACAGCGTCATAGCAACATACACACAGCATGCACACCTCCAGCTCCAGACCAAGTGCAGCGTCGATCCCCTAAATAGGAAAGAGGAAAAGATAGTCGCCTCAAATAAGTAGTGGTTTCGAGCGGTGGAGGCTATCCGTTCTTTTTGAGTTATCTACTCGGTAGCATCTACTAACTATAATTGTATTGGCTTGTTTCAACCTTCATCGCCCAGAACTGCAGGTACACTTTTTTTGAGCCCTGGCTTCGCACTCACTTCCTTGCATGTCTAGATTCCAGCTCTACTTCTCTAATCAGAAGTCCATGCATTACTGGCCGTAGAATGCCAAAGAAGCTACGAGGATCCCACTAGGTGCTTGAAATTTTTCTTATGTTAAGTTTGTAACATATTGTTAAATTCCGCCCCGGTTAGTGCTTCTTTCAAATCTAGTTGCCTTTTACAATCGGAGAATAATACCCGATCCGATATGATATCACTTAAAGTTACAGGGCAACAAAAGGACGGTTTCAAGAAACCTCCTAGATACATTTCGCTTTGTGTTATTAGTCGGTCGAGCTTGAGGTCTGTTAACGTGTCTCGAGCATGTACATGCCCATGCCTGGAAAATATGATGAAATCGTAGACGTTAGTGAAGCTAGAAAGCCATTTCGGAAAAACCACAGCGATAAATATTTAAAAACTTTATAGGAAGAATGTATGGATTCTGGAAAGAAATTCGAAAATCAGATGGTGCTTAGAGGTCACAATTACTAGATATTATTCCACATGTGCTTATCGTCACACCAAACGAAATAAAGGGCCAATGTATTGCTTGGACAAAATGTTTTTTTCCATCTTTTTTCAGTGGCAGGGTATCTAGAACTAATATTCAAAATCCTCCATCCATATTGACTACCACCTCATCTGTTCAATCCGTTCATTGACTGGCTAGCTTTGCGCTTTTCCACATTGAAATCTTCGTCGAAAATATAATTTCAAGGATAGCCGCCATTGCGTTGTGTTGCGAAATATTCCTCCCGATGAATATCACTGCTTATCCACTTCCATTGCCCTCCCATCCCTGGTTCCACAAGATCGACCTTGTCCTTCCCACCACACCACCCTTTGGTCAACTGTCTATTCTGTCCCATTTCCCCCCTTGGTATCTTGCCCTTTACCTGCTACCGGTATATTACAAGTAATGCGCACAGGTTTTTGCTGTCCCATTAATCGCCCTCTTAGGGGACTTTTGCCTAATCCCATCCGATCCGATTATCCAAGCTCCTGTTCATCCCCCTTAGCCAAGCCAGTCTAGACCCAGCTCCAATCCCAGTGAAATTTTGCGCTCCAGCTCCATCGCTTCACGTGAAAACACAAATAACAAAGGAAGTAAACGCATGAAAGGAGATCATCCATAGCATTAGTATGAGTGATTTCGAATAAAAAGAGTAAACAATACACAAGAACAAGAACAATGCTAAACAGAAAAAGGATAGTAAAGATCTCGGATCTCAAGTTGGTATTTGCATAGTTGCTGGCTAAGGAGTGTTTGGGTATAATAAAAATTCGTTTCGTTCGTAAAGTCGTTAAATAGATATGGCGGGATGGTACAACCATCAACCAACCAGAAGTAAAAACAGGAATAAAAATGATGGCTCGTAAGGGCCAGAAGCTTCTAAACGATGCTTTGTTTCCATGGTATTCAAGGTTTCCCTAATCCCACGGGAAATTTATCAGTGAGAAATCGGAGAAGCTTGGCTTTCTTGCTGGGGTTTCGTCGAAGTTGTGCGGCAGCTTGAACCATTGGTCCAACGATATCTTCGTCGCCAAGCTGAGGGAATTTGCCTTCGCTGCGTGGATCGTTGAGTGACGGAATTTTGGTCATAACATTGCTTGAAGAAGAGTTGCCGAGTGTGTTGTATTTCAAAGAAGCGAAAGCGTCTGTGGAGCTCTGAGCTGTGGTCGCAATTGTGAGTTCGTTGTTCTTCATCCACTGGAGATCTATTTGGGCCCATTTCTCCTCGGTCAACTTGTAAGTTTTCGAAGTAACGCCATAGTGTTCACCTGTACGAACGACATGTTTGGTGTAGTTACAACGTGCAAGGTCCCAGTCGGCTCGTAGTTGCCGGCAAGCTTCGAGATCGAAATTCTCGGGAATGTAAGGCTCAGGATGAATCACAAAGTTAGCATGGCCGAGCTTGTTCGCCCACTCATCGTTTTCCTCGGCGATAAGAATCGAGGGAATCTCTGAGGAAGGAATTATGTAATTAGATCTTATTGTCGAGCGATGGAAGGATGAAATTGAAGGCTTAGTACTCAGGGGCGGCGACGGGCTTCCGGGTAATTGGTATGTAGTTATGAAATCAATTGGCGTGTTGGTACCAGACGTTGGATCGCTCGAGTCGGCGACAGAGGGTGATTGTAAAGGCGACTGCATTTTGAATTGAGCATTGGCTAAAACATCGGTCATTAAAGGTGGGAGTAGTGGCGTGCCAGCCAATCCTTCTTCGAATTCCGATGTGCTACTTTTCGCCTTTTCGATATCGAGGAAGGATGTTGTGGAGCTGTTATCACGACCCCCAAAAAAGCTTCTAGATGGAGTGGGCGGTAATTGGAGATCAGAATTGTCGTCCATGGGTCTGCGGCCGGAATTCGATCTCGATGAGGATCTACTGGACGGAGCCCTCGAGGTCGCATAATCTCTTTGTGTATCAGAGGATATAGATGCTGCTGATGAACCCGTACCTTTTCTGGAATTCCACTTGCGTGCGAAAGAGGGGAACTTGGTTCCGAATCGAGATGTGAGTCCATTGAGTGGCGATTCGTTTCCTCTCCTCTTCTTGTATCTTGAATTGATTGAGAATTCTCCATCACTAAAGAATTCATCGGAAAGATCATAATCAAAGTCTGGATGAGTAGACAATTGAACTGAGCTTTGAGCCATAGATGTATCGCTGTGCAAGCAATACAGATCGTCACCTACATTGCGAGAAGCAAGGATTAGCTATCATCCTTCAAATCTCAACCAATGAATATGTATGTATCTCGCGATGATCGACTACCCCGCGTAATCATCAAAGAAGGGTAAACAATAAATAAACATATGAATGTATGAAGATTTTATGTAACACTCATAGGGCATGGTACGAGTAAAGGTGTGAGGGAGACTTACACAAGCAATTGTATAGTTCATCGCAATCCAGGATATCGTCATCGTCGTCATCTTCAAACATAAAGTCATTTTCTCGTTCGCGAGGAGGTTCTTCTTGAACATCAGGCAGTGATCGTATTCCAGATTTATGGCTTGTGAATGTGGGTGAAGACGGACTCTCGTAGAGATATTGAGATTCAATTGACGAAGCTGAACTTGGATGCCTCATATGTCCTCGTGTAGAGAAAGTTGGTGTGACTGGTGATGGTAACTCCGACGCCGATGAGTTTTGTGTATGAATTGAGCTCGAAAGATCCATATCTAATTCTGGTAAGCTTTCTCTAGCTTTTCTCTCTGCGATATGGCCGGGAAGGCGAAATTCAGCTAATCCTGTTGGCATGTTGAGGAGTCGACGAGTATGTAGTTGTTTGAAATTCTAGAGGCTGGTCGATGTGGGCGACTTGTATTGTATCGATAAGGGAGTGTGCTTGTTCAATTAAATCGGGTGCGAGTTTGAAGTGCAATTGACAACATAATATGAAGGTAATTCTCGTCTCGTTCTTTCGGATGAATTGATGTAGAGATAGCCAGGTAGGGAAACTGCACAAGTAACTTGTTCACAACTTGGAATCATACGTGGACGTTTTTGAAAGTTATGCGTTTTCCAATGGACCACGTAGTTATGTGTGTGTATAGGTAGGTAGGTAGGTAGGTAGGTAAGCAAGTGAAAGTGCGCGCGGCGGTGGGAGAAATGTATGGATAATATGAAGACTTGAATGCGTGGTTGGGAGTTCTGGATCGTGTCGCGAACTTTTTTTCTTTTACGGGACCAATTAGATATTGCTCTACCTAGTCGCACTTCTTGTTTTTTTCTTCTCATCCAATACCCTCACGTGGAGGATTAACTTGGAAAAAAGAAAAAGACTCTGCAGGATTTCGGGGACTAAGCCAGACTTACAGTAATTGGATAGATGGTTTGATATTGAGTTATTGCATTCGAATGATATGTATGTGTATATGTATGTAGGTATGTATGTATGTAGTAGTCTGTATGTATGTATGTATGTAGTGTAGTATGTGGTAGTAATGTTTGACAAGAGGGCGGAGTGATGTATGTGACGGGGTACGACGGTGAAGGGGGTTATCGGAAGTGTCTGGGGGTGGTTATTCTTGAGGTATAAGTGGTTGAAATTTGGTCCTGCTGGTTGATGAAGATTGATATAGATTGACGAGTGGATTTTGATGATTGGAAGACGGAAGACGGAAGACGGAAGACGGAAGACAATGAACAAGTCAGAAGGTTTGGCAAAAGGTCGAGATGGGGGAGGGGGGGGAAGAGTTGAAGTGAAGTTTAAGAATAATGGGAAAAGAATGTTGTGAATGAGAATGAGAATGAGACCTCTAAGACCTTTCAGAACTCAGACCCGTGGGAATGGATGGTAGATCTAGGTATGGAGTAGAATACCTAGTCGACTCCTAGTCTCGTAGTCTTCTAGTCTCTCAATGAGTGTCCCAGTCTCCAGTGTCCCAGTGTCCCAGTCTCCCAGTGTCCCAGTGTCCCAGTCTCCCAGTCTCCCAGTCTCCCAGTCTCCCAGTCTCCCAGTCTCCCAGTCTCCCAGTCTCCCAGTCTCCTAGTCAGTCATTCAGAATTTGTGTTTGTGTTTTGATGTGACCCATTTATTATTTTCAATAATACTAGAACCTGGGCGTACGGAGCATTCCCACGGGGGGTGTGGATGTGGGTGTGGATGTGGGCAATTATCAATTAGCAATAACGGACTTGGAAAGAAAGGAAAGAAGAAAAAAAGATTGTGGAGCCATAAGAACCATACCGACCATACTATTCCATACTACCTATCCCATGCTACCGTATACTATGAATATCCATCATATATTTATTGAAGAACATTCCTATTCTTTCTGTACGTACAAAACGACAAGGTAGCAAGTAAGTAGATACCTAGGTATAATGTACAACACAGTATACACGACACACCACTTAATCAAATCATGCTCTTCTTCACTCATTTCCTTACTTACTTACTTCTTACCTTCTTCCCCGCCTCCCCTGCCCTAACCTGTCTATTCATGACTTGTTGGTAACCTTGAACTCTACAAAGTACATGATATAGTATTCCTTTTCTTTTACAAGGTGTATAGTACTGTCAGTACTGTAATAGTATCTATCTCCTGGGCACACTGTACACATATGATTACTGTATACTCAGGCCCAACTTCAAGCCAGGTACCTCGGAAGAAAGTCCACTTTTTACGTCTTCTTCCCCTTCTTCCCCTTCTTCCCCTTCTTCTTCTGTTGGGACCATTGAACTCTGCACCGACCGTTGCGTCCTTGTCAATAAGTAGGCTGTCGAGGCTGTATCCAATGGCCACCATACTCACGCGCCGTGAAGCGTCCATAGCTTTATTAAAGGGGACGGATGGATTGAGGGATGGATGGACGGATGGCAATCAATACCTAGATGATTTAATTGGTACAATGCCGACGGATATCTGATACAATACTATTACATGCCTAGCTACGAATATCTACTTCATTACCACTACCAGACATTATTATATTACTACATGACGATGCTTCTTCCTATACTTATCCCAAAGAGGAAGCAGCGGATGTATTGCATTTGATCATGATACATTGTAGACAGTCACATGTTACCACATGTCACCACACCAATTCATTCATTCATACCTTGACATGTAGGTAGGTAAATAGTATCGTGGACTATGCTCGCTACACATATCCTTTTTTTCCCTTTCCTACTTGCCGCTCTTCTTCGATCGTTCGGAGCTTGCGCAAGACATTTGAATACTGTACCAGCACCAGCGCCAACATCAATTCCAATTCCAATACCCCGAAAGGCCTTAGCAATGCCTACAAACTTGACGGATTTCTCAAGCCTCAAGAGTGGACTACGGTCAGTCTACACTCTACACTCTACACTCTACACTCTACATGTATACTTCCGTCGTACAAGAGATCTTCCACATGACTTTCTTTATATGGATCAATGGAAACACCGATACACCGTCGGAACTTCTCTTCCCATCCCTAGTTGAGGAAGTCCAGATTTCCTTCTCACATAATGAGCGGGTCATATCGTTTTTCTAGTCATGGATCGATCCTCTTTTTTTTCAATCTAACTTTCTTACTCCGGAATTCGTACCGTACCGTACCGTACAGTGTTCAGAATTCCATCGACACCTCCTCACCCTTACCGGTAACCGTCCAATCTATGCTTGCTTGTCCAAAATCCCTTGCTCGTGATAATATATCTTGTTCTATTGTATGGACTGATTTAATCTAGGGGCATTCGATTCATCTTTCCATAATCCTAGCTGACCCAATCGAATTGGAACTAAACAAGGTGTATCGGACAATATATACCGACTTGGAAATAATAGAAAATGGTAAAGGATGACGGATCCCAACGTCTCGGGGAACAGGGGTGAGATCAAATAGTCGGTCTTATTACCTATTACATCCATAGTCAGTGGTGGGTCGCATTCCGCCCGTTTTTATCAGTGGTTGATTTTAGTTGAAAGGTATTTGCTGTTATTAGGTCATAAGGCGGAAAAGAAATGCTTTTCTCGGCCCAGGAAGAAGATAGTTGAACAGAAAACCTTTGACAAACTAGAGAATTTTCGGAACCTAATATTGTTCTAATTATACCACGGCGGATGAAACTGAAACAATCGTCGTTGATTTGAAAAATAAACCCAGCCTTTGTCTATTGTTCATACACATACGAATATATACAAATGAGAAAAGCGTGACGCTGAAGAAGGCTCATCACGTTTCATCAGCTTCTATCGAACTTAAGCTTCTTTTCTTCAGATGTAAGATGTAAGATGTAATAATGACGAAAGGTTGTGCAAGCAAAAGCAATAATGCACTGTGAAGATATTCAGTCTACACCTAAAGTGATGATCCTCCGTGTGTATTTATGCGCGCATCGCCTAGATTCCTTATTGAGGCTAAGCTTTGCCCTGTCAAAGTCCACAGCATTTGAGACACCCCTGGTGCAGGAACCCGACCGTCGATCCAATGATCGAGGGCCATGCCGTTGTTTCTCGTTGTTTCAAGCAATGTGTGCTACCCCGTCCCTAGTCCGCCTCGCGATTCATCACATCTGATATCTTGTTCAAGCGGTGCCAGGAAATACATTACCGCCCGCCTTGCCTTATCGTTAATGAGAAGAGACGCCATGCGCATGACTTCTAAAAAGGTATGATTTTTTGTTTTCCGTGTGAGCAAGCTTTCGGGGGTAATAGAATCGACTCAATTGCTGTAAAGCTTCTCGTCTTTATTTCAAACAACCCAGAACAAGTTGTTTGCTAGCTATGATGGACCCCTACCAGATCAATGAATCAATCAATCAATATCCGTGCGGAAATGGAAGGATACAGATGCCGCAAACCTTTAATTGGCGGGTTAACCAAGTGCTTCGTCAACCCACTGGTAACACGGAGTATGTTTTTAGGCTTGTCTGATACCCCACAGTCAGGACCATAGAAGTGGTACCTCTGTACAATGGTTGAATGGGTAAGTCGTGTAAAACGCTAATTGACCCACATTTAGCTGGGATATCGAAATACATAGATTCAATTGGTTCATTCTGTTTGTTTTAATGCTACTTTTAAAAACCTGTTTTGAATTAATTCTAAAAAATACTTTTAGGAATTATTATAAGAAATATTATTTTTAATATTTTCTTACAATAAATATATTAAAAAAAAAAAATATTTGAATTAATCAAAATAAAAGAAGTTAATTTATTATTATTTAATTTATTATCAATATTCTTAAATATTAGATCTATATCACTGTTTACTATATCACTATCACCTTGTACACCTGAATATCAAGAAATGACTAAAAATCAATAAATCGAAGTACACATTTTATATTGTATTAATATAAAATTTGAAAAAATTCGATTTTTTTTTCTTAAAAAAGGAATAAATCTAATATATAAACAGATTTATTATACTATTAAAATATAAGTAACTCCTCAGAAACATTTTGGTCGACCTCCTATTTTGATTATTAGTCAAATCGATTAATTTATTTAATTTATAAATAAATCAAAAACAAATAGGTGTATACTATATTAAAAAGTTGCTCTTATACTATCTTAAAAAGGAATAGGGGAATTCGCTATTCGATTTGCTTTATATAAAGCAGGATATAAATATTATATTACTCTTCAAAAACCTTTTATATCAGAAAATAATCAATAAATCCGACTACAATTCACACTAGATCATATTTATTAGACTAAAGAATAATGGGATATTATTTTATGGTCAAATGAAATATAGATAATTGCGGAATCATATAGAAAGATGTATATTATACGTCGAAAGGATAAAGCTCTT